CGTCAACTTTCTTCCATGGACTGTAAAAGTGGCCAGTGTCTGCTGGTTCTAGATTGAAAGTTGCGATTTTTTCAAGCAAAGCGTGCTTTTGGGCAAAAACGCCCATTTTTATGCGCTCTTCACCAAGTCCGCAAAAATTGAGGATCAAAGCGATTTGGGTAATATTTTCAATATTTTGAGCTTCAACAGTGGTCTATGCATAAACATAGTCCATGGACGGTGAAAGTGGGTGGAATCAATGAAAATCTTCAGGCCCTAAAACTCTTTCGGCAATTATGGGCTGCTTTAATTGGACCTGGAGGGTTCACGCGATCTTTCTTCCATGTGCGATTGTTTCGATTTAATTGCGGTTTATGCCTTCCGTACCATTCCCGGAGTGTTGCTGAGAATCTTTAATGCAATGAAAGCAGCGCTTAAGATTGATCCACCCTGTATGCCACATAGGGTCACACAAAAGGTAATCTTTAACGCGACTGGACGTCCGGATCGGGGACTATCTGGAAAGTAATAAATCGCCATTGTTTAACGTAAAAAAATCCAGGAGTCCGAACATTTTGACAATATCTAATGTTGTTTTTGCGTGCTCGCCTCATTCCACGGAATTGTTAAATAATTTCCATCATGCGATTCGTTCTGAATGTCAACCACTCCAGTTCTCTTAAACGAGAGAAAGAAAATGAGTGAGTAATTTATAGAGTTAAACGTCGCTGGGCTGGTGAATTATGGGCGCCGCGCTATTCTAGAAAATTAAGATAACATGCAGTTTTCCACTTTTCTGAAGCCCGTTTAAAACGGTTATTAATGGCTGCGGTTTTAGTGCCCACCGGGTTGCAAATTGTGCTTTATTGCGATAAGTTTCATTGGATTTTTGCATTCTAATTACTGATGTGGATGGAAGGTGTGTGGTGTAAACGCTAGTGAATCCTGCTGCACCGTTTACCCCCGCTTCGCTAAAACGGTTTTTAAAGATTATCAGTTTTGTCTCGAAATCGGTCACAGATGCGGGAAAACACACAACGCACTTAAATTCGTCGCAAAATGAGGACGAAACTCCAAAAAACATAACCATAACTTGATTTTGACTGAACTTTATTTTAACTCTCAAAAATAAAAACGTATTTCTGCTTTATCGAACATTTTCACACTGTGTTGTTGGCGTTAATATTTAAAAAATACACATACAATCGTGTGCATCACGGAAATAAACGTTTGGAGAATGGGTGCGTTTACTCCGCTCATTTTGCTTTGGCGTGGTTCCTTATCAACCACTCGTAAGGTTCCTGGCCCACTTCCTGCCTGATTCCAACATTGATTTATTGCGCTTTATCGGTCGATAATTATCTCTTAGCTGGATTTTTAACAAGCACTTCCTACACATCAGCGTGGTACCGCCCATGTTTGCACCAATCGCATTAAACAATGGGTACACAGGCAAGGTACAATTTCTGGCTTATTTGAAGAGCAATAATTACGGCTGTAAACCTAAATAGTTTTTTTTATATCATCGCCTTTTATTGTTCATGTGGTGTTGGGTAGGGGGATCTCTGGTAAAGAAACCGACTGGGAAAGGATTTTTTTGGATTTTGGAAAAATAGGCTGTTTGCAATTTGTAATATTTCAGATCGCTTCAGCACTCGCACCTGAACTGGAACATCAGTTCCATGAACAACAACCATGGGCGTGGAATCCGTTCGGGAGTAAGATCCCCATGCACCCAAGCCAGACGAAGGTAAGCGCAAGGTAAGTAAGAACAATCGATTTTCACTTAAAAATGGGCTCCGGCAGATACGGTCTGGTCAAGATCCAGGCGAAATTGTGCCGCACCTCGATGGAAACCATGCCGCATATCCAGAACGCTGCCACGCTGGCCTCGGACACCTGCAGAAAGGTATTCAGCGAGCGCCGATGGAATTGTTCTTCGATTATTACGGCCCCATTTCTCACTCCGGACCTGACCAGAGGTGAGTTCCATCCATACAGCCGCCTGGAGATTTTCGCCGTTCCATTGCGGAATGAAAGTGGGACGATTCCCGATGGATCGACGTTTCTCCACTGGTCATCTCGAATTCCAGACACGCGGTTGCAGGATCGCCGGGTAACCGAAGTAAATAAAAGGGATCGCATCCCACCTGAATTAAGAGCCCTTTTCTTGTCGACTTTTTCCCATTTACGTCTAATGAAGGGGCGTTTTCTTAAATTACTATCCATCATGGCTGGCACCGTAATAACGAAGTACGTTTATGTATTTCGAAGGCAAT